CTTTGCCCTCTATTTTCAATGCCTAACTTCCTTGCCTCCTTGCCCCTAGTTATGGTAAACAAGCTTCTAGCCATTCCCAATCTGTAACCCACATCCATTCCCAATCTGTAACAACCCACATCTATTCCTTATTTGGCACCCTTGGTTCCCAAACTTCTCTTCCCGCCGCTGTTGTAGCCCCGACCCCTGCTCCATTTGAAGTAGCCACTTGGGATCACCTTAGATTGTGCTGTCCGACTCCAGCCAATGGGAACCAGACACAGTAACGGACTGACTGCGTTAGGGATTTAAAAAAACCCTTCCCTCTTTTGTTCTGTGTGCTGTCAACAGCAACCAGAAGAGCAAGCAGCACCCTCTGCAGAAGTAAATTTGCCTTACTGAGAAATGCTTTATTTGAGTGCTCGTTTTCTTTGCAACTCCAAGCTCTTATTTCCAACAACAGTGATTGAGCCATTGCACTCCAGCCTGGGGAACACGAGTAAGACCTTGTCTCTAAAAAAAAAAGGGATAGAAAAAAACGGAAAAGAAAGAAGAAGAAAGACATAGAGTGAAAAGTTGATAAGGTGCTAGAAGAAAGCCATTGCCAGTGTGGCTATGTGTGCTACTTAATGAGGCATAATTTTTTATTCAGTTGTATGTATTAACACAGTGCATATGAATAAATTTGATTTTAAAATTAAAATTACTTTAAAAATTTAATCTGATTACAATAATGTATGAATATATAACTTCAAGAAGTAGTCAAGCTGTTTCTAAAGTTCATCACAAGCATAATTAACATGCAAAAATTGTCAGAAAAGTCCTGTAAAAAACATTAGACTATTACTGAATTGAAAATATATTTTAATATATTATAAAGTAATCAAAATTAAAATTATTTACCATTTACTAACATTTGTAACGGCCAGAGAAGAGTACTTGTTCAGCTGACCATGTTGGGACAACCAGTTAACCAGTAACAACAACAACCAAAATGAAGTTAATGCTTACATTAAGATTTAGAAGAAAATAAACTCCAAATAGGCATTAGGCTTGTTAATAAAAAGACAACCTTTTCAAAAAAATCAGAAAAAAAAAATTCTGGAGCTCAAAAATCTTTAAAAATATAATACAAAATCTATCATTGAAAAAAGGTTTATTTATAAATTTGACTATTTCTAAACAATCCTTGATTGTAGTCATTATTATAAAGAAAAACAAAAGATACATAAAACTTAAAACAATATGGAATTATATTGCACAGCACAGACACAGATTTATACTGGAATTATAAAGGGTTCCAAACATCTATCTATCTATATATATATATATGTATAAACAAAACCAATAACTCAATAGTGAAATAGGTAACATTTCCCAGACAATAAAACACAAACAGCTCTAAAAAATAGAAAAAGATGTTCTGTCTCATTTATGAAAATGTAAATGGCACTCAGAAATAAATATTCAGTTATATGTTTGCAAACTATCAAAATGTTTTAGGGCACAATGTGTTTTTCAGTACAAAATGGCAAACACATTCTCACATATTGTTACTGGGATGTAAATTTGTATAATGTTTTGGAAGAATTACCTAATGGATAGACAGATTATATATCTACACACACTAAGTAATTTAAATTATATGAATTATTTATATATATGTACATATATAACACTTAAATATACTTACATATAATATAAATATATATTTATGTATACTTATTTAGGTATATACGAATGATATATACTTATAAGTATATATCTTTTAAATATACTCACATATGTTAAATATACTTATCTATTAACCTTTTATAGATAATACTTATCTATTAACTTATGTATATCATATATAAAACATGTATAACTTCTACATATACTTCAATAAGCATATATACATATATACTTCAATAAGTATATATATATACACTTAAATAAGTATACATATACCCTTCTATATATTGTATATTATATACGCTTATATGTAACATATGTGCTTATATAAGTATACAGCTATACATATACATATGTATACATATATGTATAAACTTAGTAAAAAGAGAAAGTTTAAGCACATGTACCAAAGGCATGTAAAAGAAAATTCATGGCAGCATTATTCAATATAGTCAGAAACTGAAAATTACTGGAGTAGAATGGATTAATGAATGATGATATGTTAATATAAAACAGAGTATTAAACCTTACTGTAAAAACTAGAGAGATGAAAAGTAATACCACTATTCAACATTACTACATGTATCTGAATTATTAAAAATAATAAAAGAAATACACAAAAATTGTGTGGATGATAAATTTGGCTATTATGACTTCCAATGTCTTCCTATAGAGTGCAAATTTCATACTGTTTGGAAGTAGTGTGGTATTTTCTATTAAATTTGGAAATTTACTAGTGCTGTAACCCAGCAGTTCCTGGGTATATAATCAATTAGAGCTCTTGCACAGAACAACCAGTAGATTTCTACAGCAATCTGGGTTACAACATAAGATGTGATAGAATCCAAATAGGTACCCATCAACCCTGAAATGGCTAAATGCATTGCAATAAGAAGATAACATGAAATGTTTTTATTATAATAAAAATGAAAGAGAGACACAAATGTGTACCACTAATGTAAAACTCACCAGAGGCCAAAGTCAGTAGAATAAGCAGTTTAAAATTAATGTATGATGTTTACAGATTTATTTGGAACTTAAAAATAAATGAAAATATGAACAATATTACTACTAGATATGCTGGTAATTACATACAGATGGAAAGAGGACTTTTTGTTTGGAAATGAGAATGCAAAGGTCTTCTGAGTGTGCTGACTTTGTTCTGTATCTTGAACTGGCAAGTGGTTACACAGGTGTTCAATTTATAATACCTTGTTTCCCTGTGGTTATCTTGGCTATGGCTTTGTGTGTGTATGTGTTTTACATTTCACCATAACAACATTTTTAAAAGTAAGATGCAGTGTAGCAATTAATAAAAATAATATATGGTCATATATGTACGTCTCTGTGGAATGATAGACAATGAACTGAAAACTCCTTTTATACTAGAGAGAGGACAGAGTACATATTTGAAGAATGGGGGTTGGAAATAAAATCATCCCACATTATAAATATTTTTCTAATTTTATGCTAATGCTATTGCCATATATTAATTACTTATAACTATGCAAAAATTAACTAAAACATAGACATAAGAAAAAGGCATATCTCAGTTATGCTAAAAATCTGAAATCTGGACTTGCAGTCCAAGCATATATATTTTTCAAAATGTCCTTGAATATTCCTGAGATAAGAATTTGGCAGGACTTGTTTCACAAGATACAAGTAACATAGACTGCACTGATAAAACAGGATGTGGTAAATAAGCTGGCCACAAACTACTAAAACCAACATGGCAATAAAAGCAACCTCTGGTGGTCCTCACTATTCATTAAAATTAGAATACATTAGCATACCAAAGGAAACTCTCACCAGCCCCATGACAGTTCAAAAAGTCCATGACAATGTCCAGAAGTTACCCTATAACATCTGAAAAGGTGAAGACCCCTCAGTTCTGGAACTCCCCACACCATCCCAGAATACTCATGAATAATTCACTCCCTGATTAGCATATAATAAAAAATAATAACCACAACTATGTGGTAAGCTCATGCTGCTACTCTGCCTGTGGAGTAGCCACCTTTTTATTCCTTTACTTTTCAATAAACTTGATTTCACTTTGCTGTCTTGCTCTTGAATTCTTTCCTCCATGAAGGCAAGAAACCATGTGGTCTCCCGAGCTGAGCTCCAATTTTGGGGTTTGCCCTGTGATATTCTGACTAGAAAATTTGCAAGTCCAAAATGATCTATTTCTTCATATATATAATATATAAAATAGATATATTATCTGTATTTATTACTTTGTCACCCCCATGATGTTTCTTACGTTGATCTGTGCACAGAGTTACATGGTCGCCTGTGGTATGTGAAGATGCTTTCTGTCCGTGTTGCTGAGAGTCTGGGTTTATTTGTCACACTGAATGGGTCCTGATTCCTCCTGAAGCCACTGCAGCAAGGCAGTGGGATGTGTCTTTTCATGAGAGGGGATCAGAAACCCTTTCCCAGAGGAGAATGGGAATCCTGGACGAGCCTCAAAATTGTTGGAAAGAAGAGCTCGGATGTGCAAAGAAAATGAGCACTCAAATAAAGGATTTCTCAGCAAGGCAAATTTACTTTTGCAGAAGGGTACTGCTCGCTTTTCTGGTCGCTGTGAGAGCACACAGAACAAAGAAGGGAAGGGGTTTTTATCCCTAACACAGTCAGTTCCTGCTACTGTGTCCAGTCCCCATTGGCTGGAGTCAGACAGCACAATCTAAGCTGATCCCAACTGGCTACTTCATATGGAGCAGGGGTGGGAGCTACAGCAGCAGGAGGAGCGGTTTTGCAACTAAGGGTGCCAAATAAGGAACAGATGTGGGTTATTACAGACTGGGAATGGAAGTGGATTACAGATTGGGAATGGCCGGAAGGTTTTTTTTACCATAACCAGGGTCAAGGTGGCAAGGATGTTAGGCTTTGAAAATAGAGGACAAAGGATGAGGGAGGTGAACAAACAGAATCTTTGAAGAGGAACTCACTGTATCCAACATGGTTCATTGCAGCTTCAACCTCCCAAGCTCAGCTGATCCCCCAATCTCCGCCTCCTGAGTAGTTGGGACTATGGGCATGTGCCACAATGCATGGTTATTCTTTTTTTTTTTTTTTTTTGTAGAAACCGTTTTATATGGCTTGGCTTTCTGTCCCCACCCAAATTTCATCTCAAATTGTAATCCCCAGGTGTTGAGGGAGAGATCTAATGGGAAGTGATTGGATCATAGAGCAGTTTCCCCCATGTTGCTCTCGTGACAGTGAGTTCCCATGAGGTCTCATGGTGTTATAATGGTCTCTTTCCCCTTTACTCTCTCTCTCCTGCTGCTTTGTAAAGAAGGTGCTTGCTTTCCCTTCTCTTTCTGTCAGCATAAGGAACTGTGAGTCAATTAAATCTTCTTCCTTTACAAATTACCCAGTCTCAGGAAAGTTCTTTATAGCAGTGTGAGAAAAGACTAACATACCATGTCTTGACAGGTTGCCCAGGCTGGTCTCAGACTCATGGACTCAAGTGATCCACACATCTTTGCCTCCCAAATTGCTGGGATAACACATGTGATTCATGGTGCTCAGCCTAAATCTTTGTTTCATGTACGTAAATATATGTGTGTCTTAACTCTGATTATCTCTTTTCAGATCAATTATTAGAAAAGCTCTTGCTTATGTTTTTCCCTTCTCAGCAACCTAGCAGTCACCATATGTATTTCTCAATGTCAGAAACCCTGATGATTATAGTTGTTAGCCAAATGGGATACATGCCCATTTATCAGTTAATTACTTAGATCAGAATGATGTGATTCATTAACTATTTTATTGAGTTTGTACTATTTGCTAGATGCAAGCACTGGTGAAATAAACTATGAATAAATGTTGTGGTAAAAATAGACAATAAAGTGCATTAACAAATACTGTGGTTTGGAGAGATAAATGTGCCTTGTGGAAAATTAATGCAGTTAAGAAAGTTATGGAATGAGGGTTTGAGGAGCGATTGCTTCTTTAAGTAGTTAGCCTAAGAATATCTCTTCAAGAAAGTGGCAATAAAACAAAAATCTTAGGAAATGGAATGTGTGAGATATGACTGTGAAAATCAATAATTCAGGGAACTAGAACACCCTTTGCTAACCTTATGTGAGGAATAATTATGCTGAATGGGCCCACTTTTATGTGCTTTGAGTGAGTGGACTTCTCAGTCAGAGAATAATGGTCACTTTGGCCCAAGACCTATTATAAAAGGTCTGACATGCATGTTATAATGTATTGTAAAAACCCACACACTTGTGAACACTGATTTTTGACAAAGGTGCCAAAAACACAATGGAAAAAGAACAGTTTCTTCAACAAATGGTGTTGGGGAAATTATATATCCACATGCAGAAGTATATAATTGGATCCTTATTTCATACCATATATAAAAATCAACTCAATATGGATTTAAAATTTGAGTATAATACCTGAAACTGTAAAACCTCTAGAAGAAAACACAGGGGAGCTGCTCCACAGCATCGGTTTGGACAATGATTTCTTGGATATGACGCCCAAAGCACAGGTGACAAAGCAAAAAAAAGAAAAAAAGGAATTGTTTCAAACTAAAAAGCTTCACATAGCAAAAGAGACAATACAGTAAAGAGACATCCCACAGGTTGGGAGAAAATATTTGCAAACTACACTTTTTTAGGGGTTTATTATCCAAAATACATAAGAAACTCAAACAACTCAAAAGCAAGTAAACAAATAACCCAATCAAAAAATAGGCAAAGTACTTAAATAGACACTTCTCAAAAGAAGACATACAAATGACCATCAGATATATGAGAAAATGCTCATCATCACTGATGATCGGGAAAACATAAAACCACAATGAGATATTGTCTCACAATTATAATAATGGGTATTATCAAAAACATACAATATAACAAGTGTTGACGAAGGGGTGGAGTAAAAAAGACCCTTGTGCACTCTTGGTTGTGATGTAAGCTAAACCATATGGTAATTCCTCAGAAAACTGTAAACAGTAGTACCATACAATCTCTATAACCAAAGGAATCGAAATCAGTACTTTGAAGAGATATCTGCATTCCTATATTCATTGCAGTGTTATTTACATTAGTTAAGAAATAATGGAACAAAATTAAGGCAGAAATATATACATTCTTTGAAGTCAATGAGAACAAAGACACAATATACCAGAATCTCTGGGATACAGCTAAAGCGGTGTTTAGAGGGAAATTTATAGCACCAAGTGACCACATCAGAAACTGAGAAACATCTAAAATTCACACACTAACATCACAATTAAAAGAACTAGAGAAGCAAGTGCAAACAAATTCAAAAGCTAGCAGAAGACAGGAGATAACTAAGATCAGAGCAGAACTGAAGGAGATAGAGACATGAAAAACCCTTCAAAAATCAGTAAATACAGCAGCTGTTTTTTTTTTTGAGATTAACAAAATAGAGCACCAGCCAGATTAATAAAGAAGAAAAGAGAGAAGAATCAAATAGACACAATAAAAAATGATAAAGGGGATATGAACACTGATCCCACAGAAATACAGATTACCATCAGAGAATAAACACTTCTTTGCAAATAAACTAGAAAACCTAGAAGAAATGGATAAGTTCCTGGACACATACACACTCCCAAGACTAAACCAGGACGAAGTTGAATTTCTGAATATACCAATAACAAGTCCTGATTGAGGCAGTAATTAATAGCCTACCAACCAAATAATAATAATAAAGCCCAGGACCAAACAGATTCAAAGCCGAATTCTACAAGAGGTACAAAGAGGATCTGGTACCATTCCTTCTGAAACTATTGCAATCCATAGAAAAACAGGGACTCATTCCTAACTCATTTTATAGGGTCAGCATCATCATGATATCAAAACCTGGCAAAGACACAACAACAAAAATTTTCAGGCCAATATCCCTGATAAACCTCGATGTGAAAATTCACAATAAAACACTGGCAAACCCAATCCAGCAGCACATCAAAAAGCGTATCCAACACGATCAAGTCGGCTTCATCCTGAGATGCAAGACTGGTTCAACATACACCAATCATTAATCATAATCTATCATGTAAACAGAACCAATGACAAAAACCACATAATTATCTCAATAGATGCAGAAAAGGCCGTTGATAAAATTCAACACCCCTTCATGCTAAAAACACTCAATAAGCTAGGTATTGATGGAACATTTCTCAAAATAATAAGAGCTATTTATGACAGATCCATGGCCAATATGATACTGAATGGGCAAATGCTGGAAGCATTCCCTTTGAAACAGGCGCAAGACAAGGATGCCCTCTCTCACGACTCCTATTCAACATAGTATTGAAGGTTCTAGTCAGTGCAATTAGGCAAGAGAAAGGAAGAAAGGAAGTCAAATTGTCTCTGTTTGCAAATGACATGATTGGATATTTAGAAAACCCCATCATCTCACCCCAAAACTCATTAAGGTGATAAGCAACTTCAGCAAAGTCTCAGGATACAAAGTCAGTGTACAAAAATAGCAAGCATTCTTATACATCAATAATAGACAAAGGAAGAGCCAAATCATGAGTGAACTGCCATTCGCAATTGCTACAAAGACAATAAAACACCTAGGAATACAACTTACAAGGAATATGAAGGACCTCTTCAAGGAGAACTACAAACCACTGCTCAAGGAATAAGAGAGAACACAAACAAATGGAAAAACATTCCATGCTCATAGATTGGAAGAATCAATATTATGAAAATGGCCATACTGCTCAAAGTAATGTATAGATTCAATGTTATTCCCATTAAGCTACCATTGACTTTCTTCATAGAATTAGAAAAAACTACTTTAAATTTCATAGGGAACCAAAAAGAGCCCATATAGCCAAGACAATCCTAATCAAAAAGAACAAAGCTGGAGGCATTGTGCTACCTGACTTCAAACTATACAACAAGGCTACAGTAACCAAAACAGCATGGTACTGGTACCAGAACAGATATACAGACCAATAGAACAGAACAGAGGCCTCAGAAATAACACCACACATCTACAACCATCTGATCTTTGACAAACCAGACAAAACAAGCAATGGGTAAAGGATTCTCTATTTAATAAATGGTGTTGGGAAAACAGTCTAGCCATATGCAGAAAACTGAAACTGGACCCCTTCCCTACTCTTTACACAAAAATTAACCCAAGATGAATTAACGAGTGAAATATAAGACCCAAAACCATAAAAACCCTAGAAGAAAACCTAGGCAATACCACTCAGGACATAGGCATTGGCAAGGCTTCATGACTAAAACACCAAAAGCAATGGCTACAAAAGCCAAAATTGACAAATGGGATCTAACTAAACTAAAGAGCTTCTGCACAGCAAAAGAAACTGACATCAGAGTGAACAGACAACTTACAGAATGGGAGAAAAGTTTTGCAATCTATCCACCTGACAAAGGGCTAATATCCACAATCTACAATGAACTTAAACAAATTTACAAGAAAAAAACAAAAAACAAAAAACGAGTCCTTCAAAAAGTGAGTGAAGGATATGTGCAGACACTTCTCAAAATAAGACATTTATGCAGTCAACAAACATATTTTAAAAAGCTCATCATCACTGGTCACTAGAGAAATGCAAATCAAAACGACAAAGAGCTACCATCTCACACCAGTTAGAATGACAATCATTAAGAAGTCAGGAAACAACAGATACTGGAGACGATGTGGAGAAATAGGAACACTTTTTCATTGTTGGTGGGAGTTTAAATTAATTCAGCCACTGGAAGACAGTGTGGTGATTCCTCATGGATTTAGAACCAGAAATACCATTTGATCCAGAAATCCCATTCCTGGATATCTACCCAAAGGATTATAAATGATTCTATTATAAAGACAGATGCACACATATGCTTATTGCAGCACTATTTACAATAGGAAAGACTCGGAACCAACCCAAATGCCCATCAGTGATAAATTGTGTTGGGGAAAAGCTGAGGGTGGGGAAAAAGCTGAGGCAGGGCTTGCCTGTCTGACATAATGTAAAAGAGTCTTGGAACATGTCTGGGGTCCAGGGTCTAAAACCCATCATGGTCTTTGGAACACCAAACTCAGTGCCAAAGGGTGGTGTGCATAAGGCTGTCCTGCTGCACCACAATCTAAGCCCAGGGCATAAAACCCCTTGTGGCTTGGATGGAATCCAGGGCTCAGGGCATAAAACACCTCGTGGCCTCTGGAATGTGTCTAAACCTGCTGGCTCCTTGCTTCTAGCATTTCCAGGTTCAAAGATCAATTGTATCTGAAATGAGAAGAACATGTTTCCCATTGTCTCTAATAGCAGGACATGTTCCATATGCTTCAAAGAAAATGCTAAACCATCACAGCTGTAGATCATGCGCTTAACACACCACTTCCTTTCAACCCCTACATCCTCACCACCTGCTTCTTTGTTTGATCACCTATAAATAGTGCGGGCTTCCAGAGCTCGGGTTTTCACAGCCTTCATACGAACGTTGGCTCTGTGGTCCTACTTTATGCACTCTTAACTTATCTTGTCTCATTCCTTTGACTCTGCTGGACTTCATAGCCCCCATGGCCTGGTGTTGGGTCTGATCGCCCCAACAGACTGGATAAAGAAAATGTGGCACATATACATCATGGAATACTATGCAACCATTAAAAAGAATGAGTTAATGTCTTTTGCAGGGACATGGATGACGCTGAAAGACATTATCCTCAGCAAACTAACACTGGAACAGAAAACCAAACACTGCACGTTCTCACTCATAAGTGGGAGTTGAACAATGGGAACACATGGACCCAGGGAGGGGAACATCATACACCAGCATCTGCCAGGGAGTGGGGGCAAGGGGAGGGAAAGCATTAGGAGAAGTACCTAATACATGCGGGGCTTAAAACCTAGACAATGCATTAATGGGAGTGGCAAACCACCATGGCACATGTGTACATATGTAACAAACCTGCAGGTTCTGCACATGTATCCCAGAACTTACACACACACACACACACACATGGGGAATTTGGACAAAACAAATTTATAAAGGAACCTAGGTATCCATCTTCAGATGAATGGATAAAGAAAATGTAGTATGTATTCACAATGGAATGCTATTCAGCCCTCAAGAATGGGGGAAATATTTTCATTTTTGACAACATGGATCAACCTGAACAACATAACACTAAGTCAGTAAGCTAGGCTCAAAAAAGACAAACACTAAGTGATCTCACTTATATGTGGAATCTAGAAAAGTTGAACTCATGAAGTAGAGAGTAGAATGATGGTTACCAGAGGTATGGGGATAAGAATGGGTGGGAAAAGAGATGTTGATCAAAGAATAGAAAGTTTTAGTTAGATAGGAGGAATAAGTATTACTGATCTATTGCACACAATGGAGCCAATAATAAATAATAGTGTGTTATATATTTCAAAATTGCTTAAAATTGATTTTACAAGTTTTCACCACACAAGAAAATAAATATATCAAGTGTTGGGTTTGTTAATTAGACTGATTTAATCATTTTACATTGTCAACATATCTAAAACATCATATTGTAGTCCATAAATACATACAATATTATTTGTTAATTCAAAATAAAATTAACAAAATTTCTTGCAATAGTTTTTGGTCTGGGAGAAGTAGCAGTATATAATTTTTCAACATCATTTTTCTCTCTTGGGCTAGGATCTTTTAGTTGAAAGAAATCAAAACTTCAATGCCATTGGACACTTCATGAAGATGTGTCAAGATAAGATCCCATTCCTGTTTCCCTCTGTGATGATGTCACTGATCTGTTCTTGGAATTGGAAGAGGAATCAAGAAAGAACAGTAACAGAAAAGTGTAGTATTTGGCCTCTTGACAGGAAGAGCTTCTTTTATTTATTCACTTTAAAATGTTATTCATACATATTTGTGGAGTACAATGTGGTGTTTTGATGCTCGTATACACTATGTAATGATCAAACCAGGATGATTAGCATATCATCACCTTAAACATTTATCATTTCTTTGTGATGAGGACATTCAAAAACCTCTCTTCTAGCTATTTTGAAATACGCAATACATTAGCATTTATTCTAGTTATCCTCCTATGTCATAGAAAAATATGTCAAGAGAACAATGAGAGATGTAAATAATAATGGTTCTTTAGAGCCACCTAAGGTTTAGTATCTCTCCAAGAATCAAACTAAACCTTGAAATAAAACAAATGACTCCTTTAAAAGCTCAGAGTGCCTCTTTGGAAGTATTGGCTGTTATATGGCCCATTTTGCCATGCATTCAGATATTTTCCCAGAGTTCACACCAACTGACTGGTCAAGTAGCTGTGGGTGTTAGTATTTGAGAAAATATTTCCCTGCAAGGCTTCTGCTACATTTAGAATAAAGTCCAGATTCTTTGCCTTCACCTGGCCCTGAGAAGGCTCTGATCTATGTCTCCTACTCCTCTCTGCTCACTGCCTTCTGCTGTGCTCCTGTCTGTCATTGGAGGGCTTTGTGGGTTTTATCCATCAGGTTGACAGGGCCAGCCCCTTCGTCATGTCAGAGGGGCCTGATGACTCTGTGTGATAACTCATTTACTACTTTTCTCCCTGAATTCATCACTGCCCACTATCTGACCAGATAGTGTGTACTAATGTTTTTATGGCTCACACCAGCATGTGGGCTCCACAGGGTAAAAGATTATACCTGCTTGTCCATCATTTCACCTGATGTAACAAGAACCATATCACATAGGAAGGGTTTGATACATCCCTTAAGTTAATTAATAATTAATGTAATTATTTAATTAAATCAATTAAAATCAAGTTAGTTTTAATTAATTAATACATACCTTAAATTAATATGGTATGTATTGAACCCTTCCTATATGATATGGTTCTTGTTAATTAAGGTGAATCAACTTCAGCAGCCTTCTAATTGCTTTTGCTTGGAGAAAATTTTCCAAATGCCTTTTCTTGCAGAAATTCTGGAGGCTATTTTTTTTAGCTTGGTGTTTTCCTTTCACAATTGTGGTTTGTTGTTTTTGTACAAGACTGATCAATGTGTTTAATTTCTGCAGAATATACTAGGTCATATTATATTTTCTAGTAAATAAGGATGTACTGCATCGATGATTGCTTAATATCAAAGTAATGGTAGAATCTCCAAAAAAAAAATCAAAACCAAGCCACAAAAATTAATTTTAGTGCTCATATTCAGAGCAGAAAAAAATTATAGTTTTTTTTTAAATTCAAGGAGAAAACCTGATACTAGTGGAAAAAATGAGTGAGATGCATCACAGACTGAAGAATCTGCCTCCCAGAATGAGCAACAACCCATTTGAAGCAGTAAAAGGAAATTCTAAGTAATGATCTGTTAAGTACTATCTGCTAATATTTTCCCTGGATCTGTAATGTGGCATGAACACTAGTTCCTTAAACTTGCATTGCATACCAATAAACATAAATAAATTACCACAAATAAATGTCCCCTGTATTGCATGCCATAGCACTTCATTCTGTGGGGACATCCAGGCCAAAATGATGAGGATCTTGTTCAGAGACTGGGTGACATGAATCAAAGCCTGATTCAAAGAAAACTGGCTTCTAAGTTGTGTTCTTCCCTTCCTGGCTCTCTGACCTAAGACATTTTTCTTGTTTGTTTTGCCTCACCAAGCCTCAAAGTACTCACTCAACATGGAATAAATATCAGAATCATAGTGTTGTAGTGAAGGTTAAGTTATATATGTGGGAAATGCATTTACAATTACTAAATATTGGTTAGCCTTATAATTCTAATTATTATAATTTTTAAAATATTCTATGAACTTCAATTTAAAATAAGACACAGACACAGATGTGAATAAGTGTTAATAAAATGTGATCATAAGTACAACAGGAGTAGAAGTGTGGGGGAAGAGATCTCAACTGTGCATAAGAGAAGATGGGATGTAAATTTTGAGTTATGTTTACTGATTATGTGGGATTCAGATTGATAGTCATGAGCTATATAAAGGAGAACTTTCCAGAAGTGAGAAATGGTCTGTAATAAGGTTCAGATGGGCAGGGAAATAGAGGGCTATAGAGAAAAGCGGGAGGTCTAGAGTGACTGTGGTATTGAGCGTGAGTGACAGAAACAGGTAAAGGGAGACATAATGCACGCTTTAAAAGCATGGGGATATGAGTTTAAGGTTCCAAAATTTAGATAATCCAACAGGAACCATAGATTATAGAATGATAAGATCAAATGTATGTTTAGGGAAATAACTCGAATGGCAAAGAGTACACTATATTCTCAGGAAGAACTGGACTCAAGACATGAAAACACTTAAGGTAGTAAGAAACTAGAAAAGGATATTGGGAGCTTGAATTCGGGCAATAAATGAAAGGGGTATATTAATATAAGTTTCCATTTTTTTTCCACAAAAATCAGAACCCTTCTATAACTCCAACTATTGATAGACTTGAAGTCACTTAAGTGAATTAGTAACACAACCGTAGTAAAACTTTTGTTAAACACAACGTTCCATTTAGTAACATACAGTAACATAGGATTTCATCCTGTGCAAAGTCATATATATATTTTACACATCAAAGCTGAAGCCTGAGATCCCAGTATCCATTTTATATGTTGCATGTTGTCTGTACCCTGTCACTGTCTCCATGCCTTTATGTAAATAATTTCTTTAAGTACAACTTTGATAAAGTTATTATATAGTGATTTTATTAATTTGTATGTATATATAAATGTGGGGTTTTCTTATATTCATATTCAGGTTATTTAATCTCAGTGTTTTTATTGAAATCAGCAAAATCGTAAGTCAGATAAGCTCTCCCTGAATAGTTTTATTAAAGGATGTTAGGATAAACTGGACTCCAAATGTTAATTGCAATAAATATGCATATGCTAAAAATGAGCCCACAGATAAAGAAACACATAAACACTACCTTAGCATGAGTGTTTTACTTGTTAATTTTCAGTTCATCAGCAATATTGTATATACCAAAAATATGTTTGCATACACCATACATGCACACACATACGCATATATAACTTCTGAAAACTACTGATTAGGGATGCTCTAAGGCTGTGCTGTCCAACACTGTAGACACTGACTAGGCACTTGAGATATGCTTTGTCCAAGCTGCACTGCACTCTAGCATAAAACAAACACAAGACTTTGAAGACTTAGAATGCAAACAGAGTAAAAGGCAACATTAACAAATTTGTGTTATTACCTGAAGAAATTCTATATCAATATATGAGTATAAATATTATCACAGTAATAGTAATATAGGTACAAACATACAGTATAACATATTGCATATAATTTATTGAAATAGTATGCTATGTAATTAACATCAATATTGTTAATATTAATATTAATTATAACATTCTTTTGAATTAAATATATTATTTAAATTTATTTGACTGCTTAAATGTACCTACTAGAAAATTTTAAATTATGTTGTATTTCTATTAGACTACCCTGTTCTAGCATGTTCAAATCAACTTGGAAAGAGGAAATACAAAGGGAGTAGGGATGGCCATGATTATTCTTTCAGAAAAGAGAATACCCCAGACACTCTTCTCACAGCCCCCAGGACTTCCTTATTCCTCAGGCTGTAGATAATGGGATTGAGCATGGGGGTAAGGATGGTGTAGAAAACTGCCAGGATCTTGTCTTCAGCTGGTGAGCGGAAATTCCTGGGCCGAAGATAGGTGTAGACAAAAGGTGCATAGTAAAAGACCACAACAGTTAAATGTGTTGATATGGTGGTGAAGGCCTTTATTCTTCCCTCCTTTGAACGCATATGATAGACAGCAAATAGGACTCGGCCATAGGAAGCAGTGATGCCAATGAAAGGAAAAAGGAGATAGAGGCTTGTACTTACAAAAACCATATATTCATAGACCCAAGTATCTGTACAGGCAAGAAGCAGCATGGCCGGGACATCGCAGAAGAAATGGTCAATAGCTCTAGACCTGCAGTAAGGAATATGAAGGGCATAGACTGTGTGTGCCAAGGAGTTGATGGACCCCAGGGTCCAAGAGCCTACGATCGTCTTCACACACATCGTTTTACTCATGTGGAGGGGGTAATGCAGAGGATGGCAGATGGCCACATAACGGTCGTAGGCCATGGAGGTCAGCAGTAAGCCTTCAGAACCCGCCATGGTCAGGAAGAAGAAGCTTTGCACACCGCATCCCAGGAAGGAGATGCCTTTCTGGCCGGACAGGAAGTCGTGCGCCATCTTGGGGACGGTGGTGGAGATGTACATCAGGTCCATGAGGGAGAGCTGGCTGAGAAGAAAGTACATCGGTGTGTGGAGACGAGGATCCACGTGGATGAGGTGAATCATGGCCGAGTTACCCACCGAGGCCAGAAAGAATATGAGGATGATAAGGCACAAGAGGAATATGCCAGTTTGATTTTGGGGAAGCAGACCCAAAAAAATGAAATCATTTGAAGTGCGATTCCATTTCTCCATGAAAACGTTCTGCTGTAATGGTTGAAAGAGAAATAGAAACAAAAGCAAAGCAGAAAACATGAAATAAAACACAACAGAAAAACAAAAAGGGACTGAGTTTATCAATGTTTGTTTAGAATGAGTTGTTTCTCCACTAACACTGCAGGGTTTTTTTTAAATCAGTTTTTATATCTGAATGGAATGTTACCTTTCCAGTTGTTTCTGGTAAGCATCTCAGCATGTCATACATATATATGTTGTCTTTCAGTACAAAGTCTACCTCTGCGGGCAGCAAAGATAGGGATGATAATTAAAGCATTCCTTTCTAGATAACTCCTGGCCAGCCAAATCACTCATGAGTTATCAACAAGTCACAGGAACTGAGGAAGGCAGGAATACCTACATTCCCCAATGTTTTAATCTAATAGGGCATAATTACAATAGAAACTGGCATGTAGGACTCAGAAACTTTCTATATGCTTAAATTATAAGTACTGAATTACCTAGCCCTCTTCTTTAAGTTCTGGTCTTTCCTCCTCAGCTGACACTACTCCAGCCAGATAAACCTTGTTCCTCTCCTTGATACTCTGCCTTTCATGTTCCTGACAGGCACTTCTGTGCCTTTCTTGAAAATGTGCACAGCCTCCAAATCACTCCTTGAACTGTAAGGGTTTTGTATGTCCGATGAGATCCACCTTACTTGTAAAATATTATTTAAATATTCTCTCTTCCCTAATGATGTTTTCATGTTTTGAAGACCTACAGAACTCAAAATCAAATGCACTGATATTCACAAACAATATTATTTTCTTCATGTAAGTAAATTACACATAATAAAGGCCACAGATTCCATAATAGGTTTTTAAAAAAAAAATCGTATTTGCCACAGTTGCAAGCAATAACTAGTCTCATAATGGAAATGTAACAGAGAAATAAATATTACAAAATGTAAATATGTGTGTGTGTCTGTGTGTGTATGTTAATATCTACCTATTATCTATCTATACTATATATAGGAGTCTTTGAGGTGCCATAAATTATATCAACTATTTTTCACATTATTTATTATACCCCTTCTACCACACAAAGTCTGTGAATTTGGGCATTAGTATCTTCATTTTTTCAAATATTTAAAGTAGTATTTAGAGATGTAAGCAATAACCTTCTCATATAATGTTAGTGTTGAAATCATATTTTGATCCCGTGTAGCTGCTTCAAATTTCTAGTCATTTAAATACCCCAAATTTAGTAATTATTTGGCAAATGGCTTCCTATGTGTATAATACCTCATTCAACTTAAATTGTGTAATTATTTTTCTTCTGTAAAAGATCAAGCCTACTTCAATTTTCAGACTAGTTTGAAGCATACGGAGATTAGAGAGGATGTTCACATTCTGTTCTTATAGACTGATTTTCATTACTGTAGATGACAGCAGTCAAGCAACTGCAAGTCTATTCAACTGCAAAGGCCAGTGTAAGCACCAGAATAATTGTGATTTATGGCTTAAGTATGTCTTCCAATTTAATTAGATAAAACAACAAAATTAAATGTTAATAACTGAGAATAAAGAAACCAAGCAACCCAAAATAAATAATTTTCCCTTTCTAGAAAGTTTGTCCAGCTTTTTAATGCCTAGGCTTTTCCTTGGGAATTTTTATTTATGGCTCAAACTTTTAGAGTCTCTCTTTTTCTCTTTACACAACCTCAAATCTGGCAGTTTGTTTTTCTCTTCATGCAGTTTCCCAAGTATGCATAAACTCTATATTTCCAACATCTGTGTGACTTCTTCCTTTACCTGGGCTTGGAGTGAGAGGTCATGTTTTGTGTATGCTCTTCTGTTTGAGGCAGACACTGATGTCACATCCTGCCCAGCATATTGATTTGATTAGTCATCTTGGGTTATTTATTTTTCAACTTTTGCTGTTCAAAAGCAAATCATAGTTTGTTGCAATTATTCACATTTAGGAACTTAAACTCAACTGTTACTTCATATAACCGTGGGTAGCATGAATACAATTGTGAAAGAGAGCCTGCCACAGAACAAAATGGAAATTCATTTCTATAGCTGTCTAAGGAACAAACGCTAACAATGACAAGTTGGGAACATGACAGGTGCACAGTAGCATTGGAGTTGGATGCCAAATGGGATCATAGGCATTCTCTGCTTCTTATCGTGCTTTAGAAATAAAAAGTGATCACAAAAAACATAAAAAAACCATCGTTATGATGCATTCATTTCCTCAAAAAGTGTTCACTGAGTTTATGTTTTATGACAGTGCTGCTAGCTACTGATGTGCTTTGGTGATGAAAACACAAAAGATTTTAGAATATGAAATTAAAATTGAGTTGATTATACAAACAATAGACCAACAAACTCAAACATACAGTGTGATGTTATGTAGTGATTACTATTCTATAGAAAAATAAAAGAACAGAGAGATCATTGGATTAAACAAAGGAATTCAAAAAGTACTCCAAACGACTTTTCTAACTTCCAGGGTATGCATGATAAAGATTGATTTTGTAACTAATGTGGCTTCATTCTATCAGTAAGAACTGTCCTAGTAATTTAGTTCCAAGCAAATATTTGATTCATTTTATCAGATTAATGTGTTGAGAGTCTTTGATGCAGTAGTCACTGAGTGAGGCAGTAGAGATAGAATGATTCACCAGGTGCTGTCCCATCCCCAAGAAGGCGACCAACTGTTCTGATGTGCCCAGGCCTTAGGGGATGCCCAACACACCCTGGAAATTGGAAAAGCCTTTTGGTGTACTTTCTGAATTCCTTTGTTTAATCCAGGTTTAAATTCAGGGGAAGAAAGCTGTCAGCAGGATCCCATGAGGTGTGTCCAATAACAAGCCCTGAACAGGCTGACTTGGGTCTAAGTTTATGTGTTCCATCCTGGAGTTGTTTTGAAGGGAGACATTTTGATTCTTTCTTGCATAGACCACAGCCTCCGAGTATGATAAAGATTGTTTTATGGCACTTACTACAATAACGATTTTGTTTCCAAAAATGGAAAAGTGGCATGTTGTTGGGCAATGGAAGAGAATAGCTACTTTTAGGATCCTGTGAATCTGGGACTTGAAGCTTTTAGGTCATGGGATATTGGAGTTTGAGTTTAGGATCTATTTCCATTGATGTCCAGCAGCTTTCCTTGTTAGACATGGGACCTTATTTAATGCACCAGAATTACATGAAGCATCACTCTATCGGTTACATTATAGCTGGGAAAATATTGTTCCTGTGGCTGCCAGGTGAATCTAAGATTAGTGACTGCCTTGGCCATTCTTGTTGACTTAAAGAATGACACTGAGGCAAAACTAATACAGAAAGTTTATTTTGGCCAAGATTGAGGGCTTCAGCCCAGAAATACTTCCTTGGGAAGTACCCTGGAGAACAAGAAGAGACCCAAGTTTTTAAGGTAAAGAAAGAGAGGAATCAGGAGAGGAGACAAATTCTAAAGTTGTTTGTCAGTAAGTCTCATTGGTTTCAGAAACAACGTTGATCAGTGATTGGTTATGCATTATTTAACTATAGGATATGTGGTATAGGCATTGATAGGTTAATTCATGGTTGGTTGCCACAAGTCAGTCTAGAGTCCCCATAGCACGTGGATTCAAGAGATGATTACCTAGCTCAAGAAAGAGTGAGATGTGACTGTGGCCACATTTTCTCTCTGGGCCTGATAATTTAAAGGCTACTTATTCCTCAGGTAAAAAGTTTCTTTTCTTTCTCATTCTAAAAGATAGGTTGCTGAAATTTATGGAGCTACTCAGGAACTAATAATCTAAGTGTAGCAAGTGTAGGGTCCTGAATTTATTTTGCAAATGTTATGAGTAGTGAACACTTCTTAAAACTCTTATAGACAATCAGCAGGAGACCAATAGTAAACTGTCATAGACTCAGCTACCTCAATCTCAACAATGTATAGGACAACTGTAAACAGAATTCAGAGAGTTCTATGTGTTCAGCACATAGTAGGTCCTTAGTAACTGTCACTGTCCTTTGCCCATTCCTGTGTTAACCATGGAGAGGCCTCAGGCCCGGAGAAGTTTACTTTATTAATGTCACATTGTTTGAGAGCTGCACATAGTGTAACTCTAACAAATTCATGTTACCTTCTTTTACATTTTTAGTTGACTCTTCTTTTTCAATTTGTGATGGAACCGTCTATTCCCTGTGCAGCAGAGAGTTTCCTAATGATAGGAAAGCAACATTTCCAAAGTAGCTTTCTAGGATAAAGCCAACCCAAATCAACTCAATTCAATTATATTACTATGACTCACCTTGTCTGAAGTTCTTCAATTTGTATATTGGGAGAAAAAGCAGTTTTATGGCCGGGCATGGTGGCTCACATCTGTAAGCCCAGCACTTTGGGAGGCCAAGGTGAGTGGATCATGAGGTCAGGAGTTCAGGACCAGCCTGGCCAATATGGTGACACCCCATCTCTACTAAAAACACAAAAATTAGTCAGGCGTGGTGGCACGTACCTGTAATCCCAGCTACTTGTGAGACTGAGGCAGAACACAATTGAACCTGGGGGTGGAGGTTGCAGTGAGTCGAGACTGTGACCCTGCACTCCAGCCTGGGTGACACAGCAAGACTCCATCTCAAAAAAAAAAAAAAAAAAAAAAAAAAAAAAAAAAGCAGCTTTACAGTGACATCATTATTTAAAGCATGTAGGCATGAAACTATATTCTGATAGTATATCAGGCTATCAATAAGATTATGTCGCTGATCAATAGGCCCTGCATTAAACCAAAACTCTTTCTGAAGTGAGAATTTCTTATCTGCTGAAATTCATGAGAAAGAAATACTAGGTAACATTTTATAATATTCATTCCTTACAGCTCCCACGGCTAGTCATTGTCTTTACAGTGAAATCAGAAAACTTCACCAGCTCTTGTGAAATATTATCCTGTTTGCATATGTAGTGCTTAGATAAAACCTCTTCCTTTCCTCTTACCTTGTTTAAGTGAAAACAGAATCAGGCATTTTACACTTAATTCCCTCAGATTCTACCGTTGGA